GGGGGGGGGGGGGGTTATTATGGGATGGCTCAGCAGCTGCTTCCTGTCCTTCCTCATGTTTATTCTGATACAGAATAAACAGTCTTCATTTTTAACAGCATAAACATTTATTCTCTGGTTGGAACCAAAATGTCTGCTTCCTTCTTATTTAGCAGCAGATAAACTCTATAGAAATGTTATGATCAGGGCTGATGATGGGTTCAGGTTCATCCAGACGTGTTGGACTCTGTGCAGAGAGACGGAACCGCAGTCATTCAGCTGCACCCCCCACCCCCCCCGCAGTAACGCCGCCATCAGCTGCCCTGAGAAAGACGCCTGCAGAGCTGCTAAAACAGTTTGACACCTTCTGAGGGGAGGGGGGGTTCCTCTTCCTGTTGACACTGCAGCAGCCTGAACCAAACCAGCAGATGGAGGAACTTCAGGAGCCTCTGGGCCCAAAGGGCCTCAGCTTTGGCCCCTGCACAGGCTTTTATTTTGAAAGGTCGGACTACTTCTTCTGTGACAGTTGGCTTAGCTCCATCAGATGGATCCTGGTTCTACTCTGATTGGCGGGCTGGTTCTGTTGGGTTTAAACGGACCCGGCTGGTTCTGCTGGGAGGACGACCTGTCCCTCCAGGGGTCTGACGGGGTGGGAGGAGTCTGACGGGGTGGGAGGAGTCTGACGGGGTGGGAGGAGTCTCAGGATGTTGTCATTAACACTTCCTGTGTTTGTGTCTTCAGATCACCAGAAGCTGGAGCGCGAGGCGCGGATCTGCCGCCTGCTCAAACACGCCAACATCGGTAGATATGACCACCCATCCACACTGTTCATTTATTCTATTCACTTTATTTCTATGCTCCAATTCACATCCTATCATCTCAGGACACTTTCTAGATCCAGATCAGTCAGATCATTTAGCCACTGACTCTACAGGATGAATAGGTAGATATAGGAGATATAGAATCTGCAGCAATAGAGGAGAGGAACCAGAACCAGGCTCAGTGTGAGCGGCCATCTGCTGAGGCCCACTGGGGTTCAAGGAGACAGAAGCAGAGGCTTCATGAGGCTGTGCTGTGTGGCTCCGCCCCCCAGCGCCGTCCTGTCCTTCCTGCTCTATTTCCAGCAGACTGGAGCATCTGGCCGCTCCGCACGCTCCCCCATCATCAGATGATGCAACGCTGTTTCTACTTCAGATCTTTGCATTTTCAGGAAAGCTCAGTGTTGCGCAGAAATCCAACATGGCCGCCCATGTTTGATGAGAAGCGTCGGATCAGAATGAGACCTTCTGCTCAACATGCTGAGAAAACGGGACGAAAACCTGAGAATAATTCACTAAAAGATTAAAGTCGCTCAGTTATGAACCAACTAGGCTTCTTCTTTAGCTCCTAATCTGGCATTATTCCAGCTTTAATCTGGCATTATTCCAGCTTTAATCTGGC